GTGGAGATGTGCATGAGAGATTGACAAAAGAAATGTCAAGATAATATAAGCAGCAGCCTGTTCAAAGCGCCACGAGTACTTGGAGGACGGAGTGACTAATCCCATGGCAGGGGCGGGGGATGATCAGAAAAAGTTACAGAGAGGAGGTGACATTTCAATTGCAACTCACTGTCTGCCATAGGAGGTAAGAGCCCAAGCTCCCAAGTTTGGCAGACCTTGAAGGAACTCCAACCTTCAACACCTCAGACTTACAGACTTGGACACATTACTTAGATCCCTCCAAGCCTCAATTATTCTCCTGGAAAATGGGGGTAATTGTAAGCTACCTTGAAACAAATCAGTGAATGGAAGGAAAGCACTTAATAACATCCCATTTTAACTTCAAGAAACTAGAGCCTTTATTATCCTAATTAGTAGTAATATGGCTAATATTCATTTGTTTTCCCCAAATGGAGATTATTCCCCATGATAGATAGGTATTGGAACAATGTCCTAGGTAGAGGGAACAACAGGGCTAAGTCACTGATATGCAATAGCCTCTGACTTTTTAGGAAGGTGGCAAGGAGACGGGCACAGGGGGAAGTAGAGTAGTGGGAAGTTGGCAATGCCTACTAGGTTGGAGTCAGATTGTAAGGACCCTTGTTTGCTGTGGGAGGAATGTTATGTTCTAGGATGGTGGCAGGGTGCTATTAGAGATATACAAGCCAGGAAATGGCAGATGTGTGTCTTAGGGAGATCCCCAGGCAGCCAGGAGGGGGCTAGATCTGACGGAGCTGGACAATTTAAGAGAGAGTAGCCCTTGAAAACCAGTGCAGTCCAGGGGTCTGCATGGAACAGACAAGGGCTCATGATGGCAAAGTCATTCATTTCAGTTAAACAAGGACCTCCTGTATTTAAGACTTTACAAGGTGAGGAAAGCAGTTCCTACTCTCAGAACACCAACTATAATGGGGTAAGAAACAAGGGGAGAATTAGAAATAACTATAATTTAAGACAAATAATCATCCCAAGAGAATAACAAGGACAGCATTAAGAGGGTCAAAAGCGGGGGCGGTGGGGGCGGTGCTGGGGCATGACATCCAGGTGCGTGAATCAGAAAAGGCTGCGTGCTTATTGTCAGAACCCTTCCCCCGCTCACTGGACCATAATAAGCTGTACGAGGCAAGGGCTGCATCTGTGATTTTCTTGACCAGCACAGAGAAGGGAATCAATAACTGTTGGAAAAAGGTGATTATGGACTGGGGTTCATCTGAGAAGTTTCCCTGGTGCTGGTGGATGTGATCGTAGAGTGGAAAGAGAGATCTGTTTCAGGAAATCCGGTCTGGTCAGTGGTAAGTTTGTTGCATGGCTTTGAATTTGCTCCCTTTGATCCCTAACTACAGAAAGCATATTGTTTTCCATCCTAACAAACAAGCAAACAAAAAACAATGACAACATCTCATGATGTCCCCTCTTCTCCATCACCCATGTGAGATTTCTGCTTGTGGGACTGGATTCAGTCAGGCTTTGGGTACTTGGTGTAAGAGTTACGTGAACCACTCTCGATTTCAACAGTTAAAATGATTCAGCCCATTTGGCTCAGGAGAAAGAAGCCTTTTCTGTCAGCATAACCAGGGTATCACAGTATCGCATGAGCTACCTGGGAAACCAAGTCCAAGCACAAATGGGAGGTCATTGTGTTTAGCTGATGATTTAAAAAAATGCATATTGAGATTTTGCCAGGAGAAAAAAAAATACTGGTTTAATTTGAGTGAATTTTAATATAATATAGTTATGGATTCCGAGAATTGGTGAGGCCATTCATGATAATAAACCTTTTATTTGCTTTGGAACAAATGATTCTTTGGTGTGATGTTTATTGTCTTTTCATTTTAGTTGTGGTTTAAGCCAAGGCAAAATGCTCTGCCCAACGTGCTTCTTCAGTTAGACAGACCCTGTCTCCTTTAAATTGCATTTTGTATAAAATGGACTAGGTCACATGTAATAAATTTTGGCATTTTAATGGAAACATTATAGAGAAAACAGTTAACAATCTGCTTTAATTTCAAAACTAATTTTCTCTTTCATACAGTAAGGCAGTATCTTGGTAAAATGTGCAAAATGCATTGGGATTTAATTATGATGGCAATTTGTTCTGAAACAAGGTTAAGCCGGACTGTCAATATTCAGAATAAAGGTGTTAGGGGGTTGGCAGTGAGGGTAGGATGAGAGTGGCTTGATGTTCCTGGGTTCTGAGTGCCACGTGGACCACAGAATTACAAGCCCTGGGCACTTACTTGCTAGTCGGTAGAAGGATGAATGTTCCTGGGGGAAAGACAGAGCCTATACACTCCAGTGGGACCATCCCCATATGAGAACTGATAGACAAGGAAAAAAACTGGGAATGATTTTTTTTTTCATGTCTGTCCACTGCATCCAATTCATTCATTAATTTATTGCTGCAACAGATATTTCAGTTCCATTGTGCTAAGTGCTAGAGATACAAAGGTAAGCAAAAATAAGCAGGATTCTGCCTTAAAACGATTATAGGCTATGAGAGAGAAACACAGTCATCGAGGAATGACACAAATGTATGTACAAGGACAACTGTGTCAAGAACTTTGATGGAGGGATCCCTGGTGCCAGGTGAGTGTACAGGAAGGGTATTTCATGTGATCTAGGGCAGTGGTGGTAGTAGTCTTAGAAAATCTTACCTGGGAGGCCCCAACAGAGCTGGAAACAGGGCAGGGAGGATGACATAGTGTGGATTATTCCAGGCAGAAGGAAAAGTTTACATAGACCCTTAAGGATGTGTTAGCATAATGGGTCCAAGGAAGCCAAGGTGACTCAATGTGACTGCAGAGCGGGCAGGGAAAGTGCCTGAGATGGGTGCTTCCATGGGAGAGGCAGGTGGGCCCTTTTGGGTTTGTAGTGACAGATCTGGTCTTACTTTCTAATTTTTTACCAGGAAGCCAAAGTGTGACGGGTCAGATCTAAATTTTGCAGTGATTGCTTTTGCTTGCAATGTGGAGAATGTGCTGGAAGGGAAAGGGAGTACACTTGTGGAGGCCAGTTAAGAGGAGGGGTTTGGAACAGGATGGCAGTATTGGAGGAGAGGCGTACTTATCTTGGCACCTGGCTTAGTCTGGCAGTGAGAAAAACAAGCTCTAGGTTTACTTTTCATGGACTGAGGGTCCTGTAGGAGACAGGCCGAAATCATATATTTGGGAAACCTCCGGAGTAGTGGTGATAGATGTGACCAATAGGAATTCAATCTGTAAGTTGGTTGAAAGACGGGGATGAAGTTGAGATGAAACTTCAAAAGGGCTTATGAGCATTAATTTGTCAAACATAGTTTACACCAAATACAGTGTTGGTTGGGTGTGGATTCGTCCCACAGCTTTTTTTATTGCAAGCCATACTTTATGAGCATAATGATCATTAAAAAATCTATGTTTCTTGGGACTTAAAAAAAAGAAATATGTTTTTGGTATACAGCAAGTTTGCCTTGAGCAGGTTGAAATGAAAGCCTTTTCAAGCAAAGGCCATATTGAGGCCTCTGCTCAGCTAATGAGGCAGTTGAACCTGCCTGAAAGGGTCTCAAATTTAGTGTCAGTGATTCCTGGGACTGCCCTGGGTCATGGTGTCCAGTAGACTTCCCATATTACTCCCACCACTACATTGCTCCAGCATGACTTCCCTGAGCTATTGCTGTGAGCCCTCAGATGACTCATGTAGCCTTACTTGACTGCCTCATGCTTAAAATGGCAGGAACCCAGGTCTTGCAGTGTCTTTCATCTCAAGGATACTTGATTCCACACCTCAAAGATACTTGATTCACCTCAAGATACTTGACAAGGATCTTTCATTTCTTAGAGTTCTATGCTGTGCTTGATATGCCTGCATGATCTTCTGGATCACTGAGGACTTTGTCAGGGAACATTCACCGTCATGGTTTCTGGTCTTAATAAGAGTTCATTCCTTATCAACACCATTTTTTGCCCTGAGAAAATCTTAAGCTTGTTTCTGAAAACCCACTGCAGCTCCATGAAGGCATCTTGCAACTTCTCTCCCAATTTACTTCAATCAGCAAATGAATGAATATACAATTATTGAGCACCTGTTGTGTGCTCTACATTGTGCTCAGGATTTTCATTCACTTAAGTATCAGACACCCTTGTAAGGCAAAGGTTATGTTCAGTATTATAGGAAAAGGAGTCAGAGGCTCACAGAGGTTAACTTTCACAAAGCCACCTAGCAAAAAGAAGGTGGCAGACTTTTGTCAAACCCAAGACTTCTGATTCTATGCCCAAGACTCCTCCCACCTTAAATTGGTAAACAAGCTGGCTTTAGTTGGCTCATGGACAATGAAGGAAAAAAAATTGAATCACATGATGAGAAAGTTGTTTTCTTTTCATTTCCCTCTCAAACATCCCAATTAGTCAAGTAGAAAATGTGTTTGGTGTTAAAGTAGCTTTAGCATGTGTTAAATATTTGCTAATCTCCCTTTTTAACAAAGAGAGCTGGTCTCAAGCTTAACACCGTCAACACTCAAATCTTAGCAAGAATTTAATAAAATTATTTTGATTTTATCTTCTATTTTTGGAACAGCATATTGGTTTCCTTATGGTGGTGATATAAAGCTGTCTTTTAAGGAAGAAAATTACAGGAAAAATAAAAAAATGTTGAATAAATTATATTGTATGGGCACAATAATGATAAAAAAATCAGGAAAGTATATCCATCTGAATGAAGCTAGGAACTATTCCATTGATTTAAACTGCCTCCTTTGCTCCTAGGACACGTAGGGCTTCATGTGATAATTGAGGCACTAAGTTCTAAATGTGTTCATTGTTGATTTGTTTTCCTGGGAAACATACAGAAGCGATTATAATGAAAACTATCCTTGTCACTCGAACCATTGAGTCATTTTTCTTAAGTTTAAATTTTATAACCCAAATCAACCCAAACTAGTAATGGAGTCTTAAAACCTAGGAAAAATATGTAAGTTTATTGCAAAAGATAATATCCCATTTAAAACAGTTTAGAAATTTACAAAACCTTACATTGGTACATAGTCTTTAAGAAGGTGCTCTATAGATGAGCTGGTATGAAGTTCCAAGTATAGTGAGTACATATTTTTTTTAACTACAGAGAAAGCAGCTACATAAACTCCTGCAACTGAAGTTGATGTATTGGTCTTTTTCCCTTCAATTTTATAAAAGTAATTTTTGTTAAATTAATATCTCTCATAAAACCATATAACCTCAAGTACAGCATTTCTGTAGAATATCATAGTAATGTTACATAATATTTTACAAAGAAGTGATTTCACATGGTAGGTGAGTAGAGGTTTGGCATATGGATCTGTGTGTTGTTTGAAACATAGAGATGATCATTTTTGTTCAGCAGGATGTTGTTTACTGAACCCATTTCCCTCCTATTTAAAGTGTTCAATATTCAGAAGAGACCCCCTTCCCGATTTCAGGTTGGTGGCCTGAGCAGTGCTGTGTTGTGCTTTGGTATAGAATTATCATAGCCTCATTTGTTGTTGTTGTTGTTGTTGTTTTCGAAATGTCAACATTTTCCAACTCCAGTTTCATTTAATTCAGTTGAGGATTTATCTCAGGTCCCCAACTCAGTGTTGTAAGTGTATGACAAGGTGAGCTTCATTATCCAAGAGGTGGATTATTCTTTTTGTGTGAGTTACCTCAGATACCTCTTCATCATTCCAGGCTAACTCTGGCAAGTGATCCTGCTCAGCTCTGGGTCATTCTGCATTCTGCTCATTTTGATGTTGGAATGTGCACAGAGCTTATAAAGTAGGTAGAGTAGGTATTTATATCTCCATTCAAGAGTGGAGACACAGGTCCTGAAAATTTAAGCAACTTGCCAAGGTTAGTGTAATAGACTGTTCTGTTGCCTGGGTCTCTTAATTCTAGGAACAGGATTATTTTTATTCTAGCATGCTACCCGAGAATATAAATTAATTTGAAAATTAGCATAAGCAAAGCAAATTAAGATGGAAGCTCTACTATGAGAAAAATTATATAAGAGATCCCAAATGATCTTATCTTATTGGATTATCCTCTGTGCTGTTCTTTTCCACTGTTGGGGCCAACTGAGAGTTGATTGTGTGGATACAGAAAGATCTGTGGCTTTTAGCCAGTGGTAGCATATCTTATTGAAATGTGACTTCTTAAGTATGACAAGTGTATTTATCTTAATTCCAACTTAGTGTTATGTATTCCGGTCTCATTTTGTGGGTTTAAACATTACACTAGAAACAGAATGAGAACATCTTGAATGACATTCCAAGACTTAAATAGTACAAGCCGAGACTCTTTGCCAAACTTCCCTCTTGCTCCCACTGAAATAGCTTTGTGCACTGCAGCACGGTGACAGGGAAAGGTGAAGCTGTTGGAGTGGTTTGTTCAGTTAGTCTCAATTTGCAGTGGGGTACATACATCCCACGTGCACTCTGTAGACTCTAACTCAGACACCTGATCTTCAGCAAAGGGGATTATGAAATGCCTTCTTCACTGAATGCTTGTTGAGCTTTAGGATCCCTTTTCTAAGCATCATCAATGCAACCACAGGCTGGTAGAGAATTCAATGCAAAGGATACAAGCCTTTCCAACCTATCCCTTAATCCCTAAGAGTATGTAGCAATTAATTCTATTACTTTAGTAGTTTGTTCAGCCATGCAAGTTTGACTGGACCCACATGTATGAGGGTCTTGCCAAAAGAATGAGTCAGACTTCAAAAGAATTCAGACTTTGGGAAGGGAAGGTCTTTAATACAAAAATGGAAAAAAATATATCCTCATCCCCAGTCCTGATGCTTCTTCAATCAGGTGACCATCATGTGGTCATCACAAAGGGAGATTGTAAAGATTAATATACCTTGGAACCTATCTACAAGGCTGTTGCTGGGATGAATGAACAAGAATCAGTGTTGTGTTTTATCTTAGTCTTATGTTACTGGTAAGATGAAATGGACAGACAGCTACTGGATCTCGTGGTCTTAAATACTGCAGGGACATTAACTGTGGAATCTTAAAGTTCAAGCCCAAACCAGGTCCCACCCATTTGCCGACAGGTCTCAGGCCCCAGGCTGAGAACATGATGGTTTAAGGTAGGCCCTGCAGTAGTTACAACTGCAGGATAGCCATACCACCAAGTTCCTTATATCCTGCTGTAACCTCACTCTGCCAGACTGTAAAGCTTACACAACATGAGATGACACATCCTTGATTTGGGATCTAAGGGCTAATTAAAAATAAAAATGACCCAACCCACCAGGTGATCTTGCATTTTTATGCCCTACCTACTTCTGTTGTGCTTCTATATGCCAATATCTTAGAAAACTGCCGTTTATGTATCTAATTTTTTTCTGGGGTATCTGCTTATAACGCTCCTCTATCTTCCTGTTATTCACAATATTTTTTTTTCTTTTGGGATGATAAACCCAGGATGAGAAGGAAGTGTTTAGCATCATGGAGGTGTTGGAAATGTGATAGGGTTTTGCTCATGGTGGGAACCTAGACTCTTAAACCAGGATGTGGCCTGGTCATGTGTGACAGCGAACTAAGCAAGTGGTGACTCTAGGGTCCATGAAGTCCTCAGCAAGCGGCATTACTCATTCAGGTGAGATTAGTGGTCAGGTGTCCAGCAGCAGCTAAACCAGCCCTGAGTCTTTCCCATTTCACAAGTTGAATGGCTAACCACCTGGGGCCTGTGCTAAGAAGCAGAGAAGGCCTGAGGGCAGTGATTTCTCCACCTTGGGGAGGTATCTGGGAAGGGCAAAGGGAATGGACCCAACAAGTTCAGATCCACCAGAAGCATTTCTTCTTCACTTTCTTGGTTTTCCTCCTTAAGTCCTGTTTCTCAGGGACTGGGGTTTCTGCTGGGGACTTTGGTGGGGGAAATGTCTCCTCCACTGGTTCTGCTTCCTCCAGACTCTGTAGAACTTCATGGAACCTGCCTTCCTGCTGCCGAAAATCATATTCTACACTGAAAAACAGAGAGGAGAAGGGAGGAAAGTAAATTCAAATCAGCACATACTGATATAGCATCACCGAGTGTCCAACTGACATGGAGGAGCATAGGCTTTAGATCAAGCCCCACATGCTTAGGTACCTACTGACCTTAGGAAGATTGTGTCAGCCCTCTCAACCTCCAGTTCCTCATGGATGAACTGGCACCTGAAATGCCTTCCTTTTGGGGATGCACTTAAGTCTAAATGAGACGTGTAATATGACAGCCTGATAGTAGGTGTTCAGTAAATATTGCTCCAATCTCTCTCACACATTTATTTAATGTTATTGTTAATTCTTTTTATACATTTTGCATAAAACTGCCTCATAATAGAAGATTTAAATAATACAGATGAATATACAATAAAACTGACAACTCAGTTTCCTCATCAATAAAATGGACACAATAGCAGCAACAATCTCAACAGCTTTTTTGGAGTTAATACGTATATTAACCAAGTGAGAGAATACAAAGGAAGTACTTAGAGCAGTACTTAGCAGGTAGTAAGCCTTCCGTATTTGGTTGCTCCTATTAGTGTTGTTATTATTATCATCATTACCATTATTACCACTAATACATTATGTCTTGCTCTTTGCCTTGCTTCTCAATTGAACAATGTGGCTTGGAGAGCTTTCCATATACACTTACCTCATAGTATTCCTCCATGTAAACATATTTAAATACTTTCCTTTAATGGGCATTTCTTAATCTCCATTTTTTCTTTGCTATTTTCTTTGTGTGTTTTGGAGTCATTAATGTACAGATTCCATTGTATTATCTGTAAGGTAAACATGATGCACTTGGGGACTGGGTGTTCCCAGTGGTTGAGAGAGTCAGAGGTCAGGAAGTACAGAAGTTCTGGCTTGTTCACAGTGGGTGCTCACAGTGGGTACTCACACATGCCCTTGAGGGCTTGAGAATCAGGCCTGCCGGTGTGTCAGGGTTTGTCAGCTTGACTCATTAACTCTGACTCAGTTTTCCCAGAAGCTGGAGAGCCAGGCCAGAAAGAATGAATCCTGCAGATGCCCCCAAAGGCTGTGCATGGGTTCTCTCTGCCCTTAATTGTCCACTTTCCTCCCTAGGAGATTTACTTATGGAGGAGTTTTCACTGCCGAGATGATTATAAGAAGACTCTTAAACTCTTAGCTGTGTTTTCACCTGGTTTCATTCTAGAGCCTCAGATGGCCCGAGATGAGTAACCAGTGTAGGAGTGTGGAGACTGGAGGAAATGCAGAGTCGCAGAAACAGTGTATTCTCTTTGCTTGGGTAAGGAGCGAAATGAAATGCTCTATATGGAAGACAGAAGACCCCTACATTGGTTTGTGATGCAGCATGACATTTCTATCCCTTTCTACCCAGCAAGGGATAAAAAGGAGCTATCATTAAACGGACACTTGTCCTTATCTACTATCCCCATGTCACCTCACAGAGACCCAGGATCAGAGTAAGTGCTGCTGGAAAGGCAAATCATGATTGTCACACATGACTAATGAAGCCCCCCAACGGGCATTCCAAGATGGAAGAAGCTAAAGAGTCAAAAGAGCCAGATAGCATGTTTTGTAGCCAGACCGATGGGGTGTCAATGCTGAGGGAGCATTGGGAAGATGTTTCTGTATTTTTGATAAGCTTCACCCAGATTTTCTTCTCCTTGGTGTCATCCTTTCTTTTTACATTCCTCCTTGGTCTCTTCTATAGGGACATACTCCTGGCTGGATCACTTATATAATGGCTGTGTTTTTCAAAGCAAAGTTCCACAACTGATTAGCTGTGAGTTCTTGGGGAAGTCATTTCTCATTTTTTTAAGCCTCAGTGTCCTCATCTGCAAAATAAACATGGTACCTACTCATAGGATTTCAGTGAAGTTTAAAGGATATACATGTACAACACTCAGCTCAGAACAAGGCACCAAGTATTCAGCCAGTCATTCAACAAATATTTATTGAGTATCACCCATGTGCAAGACCCTCTGGTCGGTGCTAAGGAAGGAACGGTAGACAGATAGATAGACATTATTTCTGGCCTCCTGGTACTGGTAGGCCAGTGGCTCTGTGTCTTTGGTAAATGCCAGTCAACATCAAAAGCAATTAGGGACATTTTAGCCAAAGCCAAGGATTTGCCAGGTCACTGAACAGAGGCATCCACAAACTCAAACATTGAGGCTTTCACTTCCAGGATGCACTATCCAGTGCTGCACTCTTGTTTGTCTCTGGACATGGGGTGAATTTTTGTCTGTACAACCTGCACCTCACCCCCCGCAGTAGAAACTCAAGGAGATAGATTCAGAGGCTGGGTAAGAGTTGGTCTCCAACAACCTCTGCATTGCTTCAAGGAAAGCATTTAAAGCAGTAAGTTGCAAACTCTGATTCTTACCCCCACTAGCACTAATTCACGGATAGGGGACATCCACATTCACAGTTCTGTTACCTCCTAAAATATTCCTAGCCTTCCCCCACAAGGCACAAAATTAACCTCTATCCTAGATTACAATATAGAGCCCAAGAAGGTGGGTACCTCCTGCTCATTCTCAGAATTTCCTGTGCTTTCTGGTATAGGATAGTCCATCCACCTATCCAATCAGCCAGATAGCCAGCCAACCATCCATTTATCCATCTATCCATCCATCCATCCATCCATCCATCCATCCATCCATCCATCCATGCATACATCCATCCTACCTACCTCTAGCCATCCAGCCAGCCAGCCAGCTGGCCAACCAGCCATTTATCCTGCCCTGGGCCTGACACTGTACTCAGTTGTAGGGACTAATAGTAAGATAGTAAGATGTGGATACTGCTCTCATGGATCTTACATCCCAGCATGTGAGATAGATGATTAAACTAACAAATTGCTTTACAAATTGCTTTGCATTTATCTCAGCTACCCCTACCTTCCAGCAGTTCATGCATAAACCTCTACCAAATTATATGAACAGACACATAAACTGGCCTCCTTCTTTATATGTAACTTTTCTCTGACTTCACAATTCAAACAAACAAATGACAACAGCAACAAACCACTTGAGTTTGTTAAGATTCACAATAGTGTCCCAATACCAATTAGAAAAAAATAATGTTCTGGGGGATTCCAAAATATGTATAGAACTGGCATACCTGGAGAGAGAAGAGCCAGGAAACAGAATGTTAACTCTGTCGCATCATCACAATTTAAAGTTCAGCCCAATATAGAGAATAGAACAGGGCCTCTCAAGGGGAACACTCCTGGGTTTGAACAGAGGATATACCACTTACTGGCTGGGTGACCTTGGGCAAGTTGCTACTCTTTCTGAGACTCAGTTGAGAGCAGGGATTATAAAGCTACCTCACTGGGTAGTTGTGCAGATGGGACACAATAACAGGTGAAATGTCCTCTTGTAGGATATGGTGTCTGCCCACCCCCCTCTTCACTAAGTCTTTTGTCTTCCTATCTTAGGGACTGAATGCCTTTCCTCCCCACTCATACCTTTAGCTCTTCAGTAATTGTACACCTTGTCAGCAACATCACTCTTCACTCCTCCCCTCCATATACATTCAGGGAAGAATACACTCTTTATGTTTCTATGGAAACACCACAGGTTTCCATTATAATCATTAGGGCTTAGGAAGCTCCCCACCCCCCTCCTGCAACTGTCCCCACTGGTCTTGACAATTTAAAGGGGATTGAAAGTAACTTTCTTTTCAAGGACAGGCAAATAGCAGAGTATAGAGAAGCATGTACACTTTGGAAAGAAATTGATTAATGTTTTTTAGGCCAAAGCAATTTATTAACATAAAGGAAAATTGTCACTTTTCTTCTTATTCATCCATTTGACAAACTACTGTTTAGTTTGGAGGGGAGGAGAGGGAGTATATTTTGTTTTGGTAGCAGCTGCCTTATAAATAGGCAGGGGGCAGTGCCCTCTCTCATCTGTTTTCATTTTGAAAAAAAATTGGTAAGAATTCAAATAAATTCTTAGCAGAGGATTCTTTATAGATTCTGGGGATTGACTGTCTGCCTTGGGCTTGGTATCAAGGTAGAACACCAGTAACTTTTCCAACCTCACCTCCACTTCTTATTTTCCTCTTAATCTCCCTACCCTGACACCCTTAGCATTTGCTGCCACTCATATTCCATAGTCTGGAGGAGAGAGGTGTTGAGTGCTTAGCTTGTGCAGAGCTCTGCACACAACTTGGGGCAAAGGGTGGTCAAGAAGTTGTTGCGGTATAGGCTTCAGGCCTGGAACCATTGAGATAGTCCAGAGGTTAGTCCTCTGTGAGGTTAGTCCTCTGAAGATGCATGGAATACCTAACACCTGGTCCAGGGGTGCCCAACTCACTGGGGAGTCTTAGAGACCTTTCTGCCCAAGATGCCTGTGCATGGCACCACACTGCGCTTAGAAAGTGAGCTGTGTGGAAAGCAGGAGTGGAAGAGAGCTTTCGGGTTTTCTTCTTGAGGGCACCTCACTAATCTAGCTGACAGATCAGTGCTTTAGCCATCATGCTAGGTGAAAAGTAGAGGATGTTTTTCTAGGTAATTGGAAGGAGCGAGAAGCCTAAGTCATGGCTTGTCTGGAATAAGAAATAGAGAAGCAAAAAGTAGATAAATACATAAGTAGATAAGCAAACAAAAGAGCCAGGTTCTAGATGCAATATCTTGGCTGGGCAAACTGAAGTTGGGTGAGCCAGAAGGAGATAAAAGTTTATATAGGAACAAACAGTAGAAACGTCTTACTTTTAGATAGCACTTTCATATTGCAAACCTTTCAGATCTGTGTTTTTATTTTACCCGTACAATAGCCCAGGAAGATGGGAAGATTGTTATCCCCATTTAACTGACAAAGGGGTTGGCAAAGGGAAGTCACACCATGAGTTATGATCAGAATCTAAGCCTGGTTTCCTGACTCCCAGTCCTTTGTTTTTCCTAAAGAGATCAAACGCTTTATCCCAGGGTTTGGCTATTACGGGAGGTCTTATTCTAAGAAGAAAGGAAGAATGAGAGTA